ACGTATGTATATCTATTTTTATATGGCCTGGTGAAATTTCAAAATGGCCTGCTTGAAACTTCGCACACCCGAAAAAAACCTGAAATGACGCCCCTGAACTCAAAATTTAAACTTATTTAATACTAATACTTATACTTTAATACTCAATACTRATACTTATTTTATTATTAAAAATGCATATTATAATCTTTTATGAATTCATTTTGCTAGCTTGTTAAATTTCTCACAAATACTAAGAAAACATAATAAATTAAGTAAATCATTAAAGAGTACTGAAACCGAAATAATATGACTGTAACATTTTAATTATTATATGAACTTTCTTGTGCGCATTCTGTTAGAGAATAATTTTTTTCACGGCCATTAAATACAACATAATATCAATACCAAACAACTCAAAAACAAGGGTGGTAAATATAATAATATGTGGTATTACGGGCTTAACCCATCAAATGCACGCATAATAAAACGGCGTCATATACAATACCTATAATATAATTCATTTTTCACATCAATACATTACAATGGACGATAATAATAATTAACAAGTAAACATTATTGAGTTAAATCGTTTTGAACAATGGTGGAAAAAAAATCTAGCCCTAGTATGTGCGCGCGTGTGTGTGTGTGTGTGTGTAGGATATGTGTATGTGAGTACATGTGTACGTTAAACGTAAAGGGCCGCCATCTGAGTTTTTATATAAGAGTAAAAACCAACCGATAAAATTTGAACAACAAGATTTTACAACATTATTAAAATATAATATTTTAATAATAACACGACGACATATTGTGGTCGTTTGTGACGGATTTCGTACAACTCGTATACTTTACGTAATACGTATATCGTTTGTCCAGCATGCTTACGTACATAATAATCGYCCCCTGAGCTTTATTGTTGTTCAGCAGACTATAAAATTCGCTTTATTATCCGTTTCCACAAAAGGATTAAAATTATATTATTAATATCGCAATATATTATTATTGTTACTATTACTATTATTATTTTTTACACAGTTTGAGCGCCTTGTATTTCGCGCCGCACGCTCTATTACGTGCACGACGACCGCATGGGTTCGTTAAAGTCGTATATTATTATCATTTAATATACACACGGCGTCGTTGTCATCGTCGTCCGCTTAATAAACCTACCTATTATATTAGGTATTATTACTATTATTATTCACAAAATGTGATTGCGTCTATGACAAATCCGTGTACAAAAATATAAATGCGGCAATAGTTTTGTTGACTACTGTGACAACCTATTCGAGTGAAATCATAATAATAACAAAATAGCGAGTTTTCCGAGTAGCCGGAAATCGATATTTTGCAGTGTTCTCGYGGGGTTCCGAGGACCGATGTATGCATTCATATTATTATTAAAGTTGTAAGGACTATTATGATTATCTGTAGTTTTTACATTACTTATATTAACATTTAACAATGTAGATATTTTTTGTTTATATGACGTTTTTGAAGAAAAAAAACTCGACTAAACGAAAATAAATACTTAAATAATAATTTAGAGAACTATGTACGTAAGTAACTATGCTAAGTTATTTGCTTGTTATGTAACATTTAAAATAAGTTTTAATGTTAATAAAGAGATATCCTTTAATACTAGAACATTCAAGACTGTTTTAATTAATGTATTTTAGTAAACAAGTAATTTAACTAAAGGAGGCTTTTTTTTGACGTTTGATTTGTTTGATTGTAAATAATTTTCTGAGTACTAAATGTTTTAATATCATTTCTTTATTGTACATAATTAAAACCTTTAGCGTACACTATCTTACGTATCTTCAAAAAAGCTAAAGATATCATAAGTTTTAACTTTACCAAAAATCTAACTTTACAAACTTAGCTTAGATAACTTAAATAAAAATAAAGTATATTTGATCCAAATTTTCAAATAATTATTATAATTAGTCTTAGATTTTAACGTATCTACAAACAAAAGGCTTTATTTAACAACTAAAACAGTACCAAAGAGCAATGTTTTTATAATAATACTAATGTATAACTGATAAATTATATTATTTATTATGAAAGAAAAAACCTTACTAAAGGAGCACAAACAATAGCACCTGTGCATTTTGTTATGTATTTACACCTCATGTTATAGTAAATATTTCGTATAAAAATTT